TATGTATGTAGGGGCCTCGGCCTTTGTGTGGTCGTCGACGAGGACAAGTATGCACCGGTGCCCCTGTCAGGAAGCAGAAGTGTTAGGACCCTATTGGTTCATGTGAATGAGATCAAGCAAGCAGCAGCAAAAGAAGGGTGACTTAGGTAAGGTTGCTGCTTGAGTTTGCCATAAATGCATGTGGCATTTGGGGGAGCGGAAGATGACGGGAGGGGGGGAAGATTTGGGGGAAGATCTTCAAGCAAGGGAGAGGAGATGGCTTTGCGAAGTGCTGGAAAGTTCATATAAATGAGGTGATGACGAATGAGAACAGCCGGGTGAGACAGTGCGTGACAAGAGTATGGGGAGGGGTTGGAGAGGAGAGAAGGCAGGTCAGGAGGGAGGGGAAGGGGGAGAGTGGAGGTGCCTGCACGAGTAGTGACTTAACACGAGGAGGGGTGATGTGTGCTGAGAATGTACTGGCGAGAGCGAGAGCAAAGAGGGAGACGATAAAGGAGGCAGCGAGGTCACACTAGGTGGCAGAGGCAGGGAATATGATAGTGACACCAGCCTGTTGGAGTTCACAAATGGAGAGAAGGTTATGGCAAAAAGAGGGAATGTGGTGACTAGTGACAGCTCTGGAGGGGAAGGGGGAGCAGGGGAGGGTGGAGAGATGCATGCAAGGGATGGAGAAGCTTGAGTCAGCGCCATGAACATTGGTGGGGAATGGGATGGAAGTGAGTGTGCTGGCATCCTTGAGGGCGGTTCAGTGGCACCACTATCGAGGACGAATTCCAAAGTGGGGGATGGGGGGAGTGGAGAGGGAAGTACTGTGGACAAGGAAGAAGGGTAAGCATGTGACTGAAAAGCCGTGAAGGTAAGAGTGAGGTATGTACGGGCGGTGATATGGGAGTCAAGGGTGGCAGCAGAGGAAACAAAGGGAAGGGAGCACCAGGGAGGTGAGCCATGGGAGGGGGAGGAGGCATGGCCAGCCATAGATGCAATGCTATAACCATGCTGCAGGTATTGCCACGTGGCGTGGCTGCGGCCGCACCGGCTGTTGCTGTAGTTGACTGGCTGCCAGTGCCCAGTGACGGACGTACAAGTAGCTGCTGCTGCTACTGTGGCAGCTCCCACTGCTGCTATTGCTGCCCAAGGACGAACTTCTGGAAATGCCAGAATCGCTGGAAGTGGAGCATTTCCTGCTGTTGGAGGAGAGACGTGGACCAGGAAGGAGGTGGAAACGAAGCCATGCGGCGGAGACAGGAGTGCACTGGAAGGAGTGGTGCCAGAGCAATCCGCGGCTGCTGAGGGGAGTGACGGCAGCGGCAGAAGAGCCCGCGGCGGCAAAGGAGCACAACAGCAATGGGTGGACCCAACTGCTTCGGCGGCGGCATTAACTGGATCGGCGGACCTCTCGGGTTTAGGAGGCTCTTTGCCATCACCAATGTTAAGAAGGACGTCGGTGAGCTCGAGCCCCTTCACCTCGCGACTGAGGAGGTGCTTGTCGACACCATTGCGCCAAGCCTTGTAGTTGGAGCATGTACCGTCCGGCTCGAGAGGGGATGACATCAACAAAGGACCGGAGCATGGGAGCACAACTGCTCCTATGTCTAACCCCGGACCCACACACCCCCCCACATACCCCCAGGCCCTGTCCCGCAGCTACACAGGTCCGCAACCAGCTCCGCAACCAGCTCCGCAACCAGCTCCGCTCTGCTTCAACCTGTGTACCTGCTCTTGCTTGACGCGAGACGTTCGTGGAGGCGATTTCGCGAGGGGAGTTCGCCTATTCTGGCGGGGTCTGAGGGGAAACTCGAGAACGAGTTTTAAGAGATGGTCGAAATTGAGATTCGACCAAGGAGAACCGAGGAGGAAATCGACGACGAGAAGCGTGAACGCTTCAGAGATGAGAAATTCAACGAGGTCGAGCGCGAAGGCGGTCGACGATGAGAGGCGCGACTGCAGAGTGGAGCACGTCGAAATTCCGACGACTCGAAACGAATGTCGCGACGATGAAGTGCGCGTAGCGCGGGCACGTTCAGATTAGGACCTTGATCCGCGTGTGCGGATAGGTCGCTCTGATACCATGTAAGAAATAGAGTTGAAATTATTGATTAGGTAAGGAGCCCAGGGCTCTATAAGTACATGGCAAGGTGAGAGAGAATGGATGAAGGGGGAATTGGAGGGAATCCCCATTGGGATCTCCGGAATCTCCAATTGGGTAATTGGAGATTGTGGGGATCACAATTGGGTGAGGTTGGGATTTGTGAGTACACCCCAACCCACTAGAACATTCACAACCTAAACTAGGATATAAAATTACAAATACAAAAGTGGTATTTGCAGTCTGTTTCTAACAGCCACTACCCCTGCTGCCGCTGCAGCGTGTGCCACTGCCGCTGCCACCGCTACTACTGCAGCTGCCGCTGCAGCCTCTGCCACTGCTGCAACTGCTGCAGCCACTGCCGCTGCCGCAGTCGCAGCCACTGTCATCTCTGGCCTCGAGCAGCCTGGCCACCAGCCGCCAGAACCAGCCGCCAGCTGCCAGCAGCCGACCGCCGGCTCCAGCCGCCACCACTCGCGGCCAGCCTTGGACCACCAGCCGCCAGCAGCAGTCGGCCGCCAGCCGCCAGTCGCCAGTCGGCCGCCATCCTCATGAGTCCCCTGTGCCCTGTGGACTGTCATATCCTAGTGCCTCCTAGCTAGCTCCTCGATGCGCTGCTCCTAGTAGCTCCTCTCGCGCGTACTTCCTCCTCTCCCTACTCCGCCCACAAGCCGCTGTCCACCCACATGCTCCCTCCCGGCCCTCTCCTTTATCCTTGACTCGGGCGCGTCTCATTGCTTCTTTAGAGACAGTACTGCTCTCACCCCGCTTCCTGCGCCTGTCCGCGTCGCACTAGCAGACTCCTCAGCCACAGCTGACACACGCAATACCACCACTCTCCCCTGTCCAGCTGTCCCCTCCGGCTCCCTCACCGGTCTGCACATCCCCTCGTTTGCCAGGAACCTAGTGGGTGTCGGTCACCTCTAGGACCGAGGCGTGACCAGTATGTTCCCTGGCCAAGAGAGGCACACAGCTTGCACGGACACAGCCACCGGTCGCCACCTAGCCACGTTTGAGCGTGACCCAGCGTCCGGTCTCTTCACCCTGCACACTGAGTCACCGCCAGTTGCTGCGCCTGCTGAGGTAGCCACGTCGTGCTGCTGTCGTTCCGTCTCCCACCCGACTCTTCAGTGGCACCACCGCTTAGGTCACCCTGCACTCACGCGTCTTAGGCCCATGTCCCAGCACGGTTTAGTTACTGGTCTCCAGCGTCACTCCGAGCCCTGCCTGCGTCGGTAGCAGCACTGTGCACCTCCTGCGTCGAGGGCCGGCAGCGCGCCGCCCCTCATTCCTCGTTTCCTCCTACCACAGCACTGCTACAGACACTGCACATGGACGTCTGGGGCCCTGCCCCCATGCATGGTCTTACTCGGGAGCGCTACCTCCTAGTCGTCGTTGACGACTTCTCACGTTTCACCATGGTGTTCCCGTTGGAGCGGAAGGTAGACGTGCCTACCGTTCTCTTACCATAGCTGCTTACTGTTTGCACTCAGCACCGCCTGCCTGTAGTTCGGTTGCACTCTGGCCACGGTGGAGAGTTCGCCTCGGGCACTCTAAGACAGTACTGTCGTGCGGAGGGCATTCGCCAAACGTACACACTGCCAGACTCCCCACAAGAAAATGGGGTTGCTGAGCAATGCATCGGCCTGGTCATGGAGTAGCTCGCACCTCCTTGGTCCACGCCGGTGCATCCCATTGTCTGTGGCCATTTGCCGTGCACTACGCTGCTCACTAGCTTAACCTGTGGCCCCACTCCCAGCGACCACAGGTTTCGCCGACCCGTTTCTGCACCAGGTCTTCTGGTATCGCTGCTGCGTTCTGCGTCTGGGGTAGCCTTGCTCACGTCCGTGCCACTGGCGTGGACAAGCACTCAGCCCGCACTCGTCCATGTGTCTTCCTCAGGTTTCTGCTTGACGCCCCTGACTGGTTGTTTTACGACCCAGTCCACCACCGCTTCTACCGCTCTCGTAACGTTACCTTCGACGAGACGCTCCCCTACTACAGGCACTTCCCTCACCGCAGTGCTCCTGTGTCTCCTCCTCCTCTCTTCCTCGTCCCTGCCCCGCCTGTCGCACCTCTCCCACCCCGCCCAGCCCCGTCAGGTGTCTCTGATGCCACTCCGTTCCCCTCGGTCGGGCCAGTGGGGGAGTCCGCTGACTCTAGGGGCCAGCTGCTGGGGGCGTGACTACTGTCTCTGTGGCTCCTTCCCCAGTGCCAGTACCCCAGGCACGTCAACCGTCTTCCCCCTCGCCTCAACAGCAGCTGCAACCGCCGCAGCAGACTCAGCGGCCGCAGCAGCAGCACCAGCAGCAGGGGGCAGTGGACTCTAGGGGTGCTAGTTCTGGGGGTGCTGGTACTGGGGGTGCTGGTGCTGGAGGCGTTGGTGTTGGGGGTGCTAGTTCTCGGGGTTGCTCACTCTGGGGGTGCTGGTTGTTGGTTAGAGAAGGCTATAAGCAGATGATTCAATGGCTCCTTGGAAATTTCTGCAGCACTTCGTTATGACGCCCAGAAAACTCGCGACCTTCGAAAAGCTATATCCAGAATTCCAATCGGTGAAACGATACAAAAATCGGATATGTTGAAGCTTGCAGCGTCACCTTTCCACTGAAAGTTAAATCACTCGATTCCGTAGCTTAACGAGTGAGCTATGACGTTTGGCGCACTGGGGGGTAATCTGCCCTAGGAGAAGTTGACAGTCCTCAGAGTCACTATAATTGAAGCTTACAAGTTCAAAGGCCTGATGGAAAAGGCATTGAAGCACAGTTGGAAGGTGGGGATGGAAGGGAAGGATGAAAGGGAAGGACCCTGGAGGCCCATGGTCAAGAACATGACAAGAGTCAAAGTCTTGACTCCCCATCCTCAGGTTCAACCAGCCTGGCAAGACAAAATTCACACTGTGCCAGGTTGGCCTCCA